TCATGTTCGCTTCAAGGTGCCTGGCTGCCGGCTGCCATCTTGGCTGGCAGTTAATTTGCATATCGCCCTGATTAGCCAATGGGAAGGGTAGCGGAGTGACACCAATTTGCATGTTTCTCTTTTATTAGTGTAGATATTATGTTGTAAAGTGTTACATGGATTTCATTTCCTCCCTCAAATAATTCACTACTTTGGCTGCTTTAGATCTTTATTGTTCATCCTGAAATAATTATAAAGATAATTATAACTTTATAATAATGCTTCTGTGATCTAGATAAAAAGAGGACACTTCAAGAGGTCATTTATTTCTAGCTGCTTGGGACTGAATATTAGTAACAAAAACTTTATATTGCATTTTTTTCTTTAGCTCATATTTCATAGATTGAGACTTTTGTAAGTTATCCTATTTTGCCTTTATCTTGGTTTCTTCTCTTAAGGACTTCTGATTGTTGATTTTATAGTATTTTTAATGGGCATTTATACTATGAACTCGTTCCTACCTTTTAAGATAGCTTTGTAAGTTTTATATAACTTACAGAAATTTCTGGTTTTAAAATTGCAGAAATTCAGAAACTAAGACCTTTTCAAAAATAAAAATGCATATCAAATTGCTTATGAATTTTTTTATTTTTAATGAGGGTATTAGTGTAGATCAGAGAGATTGTCCTTTTAAAACTAAGGGCCCTTGGCATATATACCATAATACAATATCCTTAGCAACTTTACTTGCTTCTGTAACTTAATCAAATTCTGGAATAAAATTTATTGTGTACTGCCTAGCCTATGAATATTATGACTATCAGAAATTACTGGTATATTGCGAATAAGTTGAATTTTGACAAAGAGCAGTCAGAAAATTATATTAAACTTGGCACATGATTGGAACATACCATGTAGTTTGAAATTTTTACCATAAACCTTTTATTACTTAGTCCTAATGGTAAACATAATTTTTTAATATATTAAAATTTTAAACTAAATATGACCAAAAGCAGTAGGATTTATTAAAATTTTAATAAATTGCTAACATCTTTTCCCCCCTATTCTTTAGATTAAGCACCGATATAACAGAGAAAAATGTGGTAAACTTTTATCCAAAAGAATCAGCAGAAGCCTTAGAATTACAAGATTCTGCACAGAAGTATGTTGAACTTTTTAAACTCAATGTTTTCTCTTTTTACATTGAAGTATGTGTGCTTTAAATTCCACTTTATATCTTTTTCCCTCCTCATACCTACAGCGGTCAAATGCAGCTGGAGCCATCTCCGGTGTGTGAGGTAAGGCTGCTCTTGGGTTCAGCAGAGCTGCGTGCAGTGTTCTGCCACAGAATGGTGGCTGTCACCTTCTGTGAAGATTGATCCTGGGGTAGAACATTCCTAAGGCAGACTAGTTCAAGATCTGGTTTTCAAATTTTTTTTTACCCTCTTCAGTTTTCCTGTTTATCTATTATATTTCACCTTCCATTAGAGATAAGATTTCCATGAAATTCTCTAAATTTTTGTGTGTGTCACTCTTGCTCAGTCAGGCGACAGCAACTAAGATCCATAGGGAGCCTGCTCTGTGTCAGAAACTGGAGGTAGGACCAGTCAATGTAGATTTTAGAGCCATGAATGAAACCTATGAACTGGCCAGACGCAAATTAACTAGAATGGACTTGAAAAACAAGAAAATGATTTGGGAAATGCCTAGGTCCTAGGAGGATTAAAAGAACATAGCATAACCAATGGACACAAGACCTTGGCGGGGGGGCGCGGGTGAGGTCATGTGCCGGGGGTAGGGG